TTCTATTTTTATTTGAGCTCTTCCTCTAAAGTCTGTCTTTCTTTCTTTCTTTCTTTCTTTCTTTCTTTCTTTCTTTCTTTCTTTTCTTTTTTAGTTGCTAGAGGGTGTATGTGCTCATCAGGGAGATGGAGAGACAGAGAGAGAGAGAGAGAGAGGGAGAAGGAGAGGGAGAGACCAGTTAACAATATGGTGTGGACATCTCTTCTCTTCCATTTTTCTATCCTGCAGGAATTTTGGCTACACTAAAAAATGCGCTCAGTATGATTTTCAAGCCACTGATGCTGGGATCAGAACTGTGGTTGACCATATAGGATCTGGCTCCCTTAATCACTAGGCCTCAGGGCTGGCACGCCAAGTGTTTTCAAAGTGGGTCTTTATGTGGAAAACATCCTGAGACCATCTATACTTGAGAAATTTTTTGTTATGCTCCAATATTTAATTTCATTTTAAAAAAGAATTATTATTTATTTTTATTTACTATAGTAATTATTATTATTTTTAAAATGTTGCTATAGGGCACATGTGCCCACCAGAGAGAGAGAAAAAAATGAGAAAGCAAGCTGCCGGATCCAGGACTCAAATTGTGGTCAGCCATGTGGAAGTCCAGCACCTTAATCGCCACATCATCTATTGGCCCCATATACCCCTCTATTTAAAAAGCACTGTGAATGAGTATAAAATTCTAAGTTCAGAGTGACCAAAATGGCAGCCACCCACTACTGATGATTTCTTAAGCTCTGTGAGGAATGGCCCATGGATAAGACCAAACGGGGACGGGACTTGGTCACTTACCCGCGAGAGCAGGTAGCACAGGTCTTTCGGGAGGGAGAAAACAACGAGATTTCAGAGCCTGAGGTCTGTGATCAGATGTACCAGAGCTTAGCACAACTCCATTCAAACTACTGAAAACACTAATACCCTCACCCCAGAGACACCAGCTTCAGTGGCCTATCAGCGGAAGAGTACAAGCTGATGCTGTCCACAGACAACTTGGAAGAGTTTTAAGGAATTAATAAAGGCATGTGGAAGAAACTGCAGACGTTTGCCCGTAAGAGTCCTGAAGAGAAACATACAGTCTGGGCTCAGTCTTCATCTGGCCCATGTACCTAAGAGTGGATGGAGCCTCAGCTATGGCCATACTTTCCCCCGAAAATAAAGAAATAAATAAGAGTCTAAAAAATTCTAAATTTAAAGTTCTTTTCCTTCCCTGTTCAAATATCAAACAGAAGAAGAGAACAATACCTTGCCAGAAATTATTAGGCCTTACTAAACACTAGTTTCAAAGCTGTGGCCATTTGTGAAATCTTATTATGAATCATTAACAAAATCAGAGAATTAGTGGTTGGAAAGAGGCAGAAAGGCCTGAACTTTCTTCTGCATGACTGCTCTGCAGATACTATAATCCCAGAATAAGAGAACGGGGAGTTTGCATGAAGCAATAATAGAACTTAATGTCTAAGAAAGACTTCAGAACTTGTGATCTGGTACAGATAGAAACTACAGATGAAGTCAAGCAGCCTCCTTAGTTGGGTCATGGGAACATTAATTGGTACAAAATACCAAGGGCAATTTTGGATACTGAGGCTACAGCTGAATATAAAAGGGACTTTTCAGAAAACATTCTGCCTTCCTCCAGGCTCTAAGGATTTTAGCCAGACACATATTTTCCATAGTGGGCTTCAAATTTGTCCTGGGAGGAAAGCATGCCAATGAAGTCAAGGTTTCAAACACACCTGCAAACTATGGATGGATGGAAAGACAGTAAAACCTCCTGTGGACAGATCCCCGCCTTAGCTCTCTTGCCCTGCTTCCTTGGTTGTTTACCTGGGAACATCTGCAACAGGATGAAAAATAGAGTAAGAGTCAGGAGCAATAATTTCATGATCTTTAAGAAGGATGTGGCAAATCCAGGAGTCCAGAACATTCTGCAACAGGGCTCTGGACTCGGGTTTTTATTTGCCTCCATGGGGCGGGGTCCAGGGGTGAGTCATGAGTGATGATGCCAAGAGAGGAATAAAGGAACGCTGGTCTTTCGGCCAGTTGCACTCAGAGATTAGTCACCACTCAGAGCCCTGGTCTAGGTACTCTGAGAGGAGACAGAAGAATGGAAGGGAAGGGTTCATATACCAGGAAGTCTTTCATAATCCCCAGTCCCCATCTGCCATGGGAATATTTCTTATAAAGCTTACCACTCTATTCTAGCACTCACCACACTGCCTTGGGATCAACTACAGAACTCCTTGTGGGCAGAAACTGCCTTTCTCTTTACCGTCTTCCCAAGGCCAATGGCTTAAGCTTAGGGGACTCAGAAAAGAATTTTTTTTTTTTTTGGAGAGGTTTTCGCTATTGGGCGCGTGCTCTCGCCAGCCAGACAGAGAGAGACAGAGAGACAGAAAGCGAGAAATCACTCCCTGGGGGGATGGTCACGCCGCAATCCCTTCTCCTCCATTCTCCTCTCAGGATCTTGGGAACGCACGCACACGTGCCTGGCGTGAGTTTTAAGCCACCGGGTCTGGGACTCGAACCGTGGTCGACTACGTGGGAGTCCAATGACATAGCCAGTACGCTAACTGCTGGTTCCCAAGAATATTTTAATAAATACTGAATGAGCATATTTTTGTACTATACATAATACCCTGGAGACTGTTACAATCAGCATCTTTGGAATTAAGTAGATCAAACTGATTTTATAAATGAGAACACTGAGGTCAAGAGAAGAATGACTCAAAGGCAGGATGGAGAGAGGATTCTTAGAACAGGGCTTGATATGATTTTAAAAAATGACTTCTCAGAACAGGTGAAATGCAATGGGAATGTTTCTTCTGATACAAGCACACTGGAAAGATCACAGGAACGTCTCTGAACACCCAATTTACAGAGCCAACTTTGGATCCACCTGTCACCTAGATCCATCTGTTTTGTTTCTCTTAGTCTTCATTTTCACCCTGTCTCAACCCCTGCGGAAAGAATCACATAACCTCGAGCCCACGGACCTTCTGGGCCACAGAAGTACAAACACATCCTGAGAGGGAGGAGGTGCCTAGTGTTTTTGCTCTGGACAAGTTTCCAGCTGATTTATTCTATTATATTTTTGGTCACTTTTTTTTTCCTGTGGTTGATTTCTGGTCTTAATGGACGATGGTCAAAAACTGAGATTTGAGAGGCTGTAGCTTTGCAAATCCAGTAATGGGTTCTTTTTAACCTAAGAATGTGGTTTTTAAAATATGATCTGGGATAAAAGTCCTCTATGAAGTTAAGTTTTTTAACTCTCCTAATATCCTAATATTCTTATTTATTTTCTACTTACTTGGAATATAAAATATGCAGAGAACTATATTGAAATCCTGCCAACTGTGATAAAGCACTTAATCAAGTTCTTATATTTCTAGTAGTTTTTATGTGAACTGTTTATCTCGTTGGTTTATTTATGGTACATCAATTTTTATGAACTTTGCAATTTCTTCATGAATTGTGACACTTAGCTTTTATAAAATATTCCAGCTTGTCTTGCCCTTGAATTCACGTTCCTGGACTCCAACATGGCTGACTCTAGTTTGAGTCCCAGACTCAGTGGCTTGAAACTCATGCTAGATACGTGTTTGTGCGTACTCAAAATCCTGGATCTTGACAGAAAAAAACATAAACTGGCTGGCCCTAGAGGGACTGGAGAGCAAATGGTGGCTTTCTCATCTTCAGAGAGGGAGATGCGTTCTTTTTTATTTTTTACTTTCTTTATTTACCTATTTATTTGTTGTGGTTTTCAAGCCTTCAGGTCTGGGACTTGGTTGGCCTTGTAGGAATCCAGAACCTTAGCCACCACACCACCTGGTCACCCCCAAGGGAAATGAATTCTCTCATTTTGTCTCATAAATCAGAGAATTACCAAAGCATAAGTCAATGCAGACTTAAGCATTTAAACCAGATGAATGACTGCCACTCCTTGATTAATATATGACAATCAGGATTCAGACCCAAGTCAATCTGACATTAGAGTTTTTGTTCTTCATCACTGTTACAGACACTCTGTGAAATACTCATCATCTTTAAAAGAGAATATCCTCTTTTTTGTCTAAGGCAGTGTTGCTTTTTTTGGAAAGACAATGTCTTCTTTTTATCTAAGCCTGTTAACTTCTTAACAGCATGAACTTTTGCTTCTTCTGGGCCTTTATTCCATTAATCACTTACCCCTTTTACCTTCAATTTCTGTTTATTGGACTTTGCCTCTTGGAGATAGTCCCTTCTGTACTCATGGTCCTGGTCTGCCCTCTGAGGAGTCAAAAGTGCTTGTCCTGGGACCAGCCATTGGCATAATGGGTATGTCGCTGGACTCCCATGTAGTCGACCACGGCTCAAGTCCCAGACCCAGTGGCTTAAACTTACACTGGGCACATGTGTGTGTATGCCCAAGATCCCTGGAGGAGAAGGGATTGCGGCATGGCCATCTCCCCTGGGTGGTGATTTTTCACTTTCTGTCTCCCTGTCTCTCTCTGTTTTTCTGGCGAGCACACGTGCCCTACAGCAAAGACCTCTCAAAAGAAAAATGTGCTTGTCCCTTAACCTGTGTGACATTTAACCCATGTGTGAGTCAATTATTTCACTACAGAGTCACAGTTTCCTCTTATGGAAAACAAAGATAAAAATAGCCATATCATCAAGAGGATTAATCACAATATGTGTTCAATACATGGCCAAAGATACTGTTGTCTGTCTATTAGATTACAGAGGCTATAGTAAGTTCCCAAGAGTAGTCATAAGAGCTTTGGCACTGCCTTCACCTCTGTCTTGTTGCTAGATGCTAAAGATTCTTCCCTAATTCCTCTGTTGAAACTACAGGAGTGAACCGTTAGGGAGCACCTTCTTAGTGAGTCTGTGACTTACTAACCTGAGACACTGACACTCAGGGCATGATAAACATATTAATTATCTATTAATAACCAGCCCCAATAGCTTGGCGACTTAAAATTATAGTAGATGCTCATTATCTTTTACAGTTTCCGTGGGTCAGGACTTCAGGAGTTGCTTGGCTAGGTGATTCTGGCTATGGGTATCTCATGAGGGTGCCATTCGGTGTCAACTCGGGCTACCGTCATCATAGGTTCTTCTACATGGCTGACAAGTTGGTGTTGGGTGTTGGTAGAAGGTCTCAGTTTCTCTCTCAGTGAGAAAATCTGGGGAAAAGATTTCAGGGAGTGAAAGAAATCTTTGCTTAACTGAAAGTCACAAACTTATTTTATTATATTTTAAATAAGGTTTTTGCAGGAACCAGCAGTTAGCATAATGGCTATGTCGCTGGATTCCCACGTAGTCCACCGCGGTTCGCGTCCCAGACCCAGTGGCTTAGAACTCACGCCAGGCGCGTGTGCGTGTGTGCCCAAGATCCTGAGAGGAGAATGGAGGAGAAGAGATTGCGGCGTGACCATCCCCCCTGGGGGGTGATTTCTCGCTTTCTGTCTCTATGTCTCTCTCTGTCTGTCTGGCGAGCGCACACGCCCTATAGGGAAAACCTCTCAAAAAAAAAAAAAAAGAAAGAAAGAAAAAAAAAGGAAGGTTTTAGCCATGGGTGCGTGTGTGAGGCAGACAGAGATAGTGAGAGGGAAAGTGAGAAATCACCCCCTGGGGGGATGACCACACTGCAAACCCTCCTTCTCCGGTCTCCTCCTGGGATTTCAGGCATGCACGCACACATACCTGGTGTGATTTTCAAGTTGCCAAATCCAGACTCAGCACCTTAAATACCACGCCACCTGCTGGCCCCACACAAATTTTTAAAAATATTTTTAAATATGTTTTATAGTTTGCATTTATGTTTATGGTCCATTTTACTTAAAGTGTAGAGTGTGGGTTGAGTCTCTTCCTTCCTTCCTTCCTCCCTTCTTTTCTCTCTTTTTTCTTAGCATACAGACCTCCAATTGTCAGACATCCAATTGTTCTAGCACCATTTGTTGAAAGGACTGTCCCTTTTCCATTGAATTGTCCTTTCACCTTTCTTAAAAGTCAATTAACCATATTTCTGTGGGTTTATTTCCAGACTGCATTTTGTTCCATTGATTTATTTGTGTTTCTTTTTGCCAACACTACATTGTCTTTGCTACCACAGCATTATATTAACTCTTGAAATTAGGGCAGCATGGGACCAGCAGTTGGACTCCCAAGTAGCCGACCGCAGTTTGAATCCCGTCCGGTGACTTAAACTCACGCTGGGCTCCTGTGCGCATGTGTCCAAGATCCCGAAAGGAGAATGGAGAAGGGATTGCGATGTGGCCACGCCCCCGGGAGGTGATTTCTCGCTGTCTCTCTGTTTCTCTCTGTCATCCTGGCGAGCGCCCGTGCCTATAGCAAAAACCTCTCCAAAACAAAACAAAACAAAACAAATTAGGGGGGGGCCAGCAGGTGGCATGGTGGTTAAAGCGCTGGACTCCTTACATGGCCCACAGTGGTTTGAGTCCCAGACTTGGTGCTGTGGATTCTCAGTTTTCCTCTTTTTCTGTCTCTGTCTTTCTCTGGTGAGCATGTGTGCCTTGTAGGCAAAATTTTAAAAATAATAATAAATAAAATTAAATAAATAATTCTTTAAAAAAAAATAAATTAGATAGTGCTAGTCCTCTAACTTTATTTTTGTTTTTAAAAATTGTTTTGGTTATTTTAACTCCTCTTTCTTTCCATATGGATTTTAGACACAATTTTCTTGTATCTGTAAAAGATCCTGCTAAGATTTTGATGAAAACTACACTGAAATTACTTTAATATCTGAAAGATACTGAGTGTCTTCATTTATTCAGGTTTTCACTCTTCTTTTGGTTCCATTGTCAAGGGTACTCTTGTTAAAGTCATCGTTTAAAATTCAATTCTTCAGTATATAACTTTCCTATGTTATCTTGTAGACTCATTTGTTTTTTTCTATGTAGACGTCATATCATTTGTGAATTTATTTCTTAAATTTGAAGTTTTTAAATTCATAAATTGAGGAAGCATTTGGCCATTTAAAAATGTATTTTTTCTGTGTTAACCTCTTTTTCTTCTTCTGATACAAATCCAATCACAGGATTGTTAGACCTTTGGCTACCATCCCACAGGTTCCTGAGGCTCTGCTCAGGTTTTTAGTCTTATTTGTCTCCTTTTCGAATTGGATCATTTTCATGAATATATCTTTAAATTCTTCGACCCTTTCTTCTGACCTTTCCATTCTGCTATTGAGCTTATCCAGGATTTTAAAATTTCAGAAAGTTTACTTTTCATTTTAAAAATAAAGTTAAATAAAAGAATGCTTTGAAAAAATTCCCTTCACTAATGTTTTGTTCTTTATTCCTGATACCGGGCTTGCATATATATGCAAGAGAAAAAAGCGCCAAAGAGAGAGATGCACACCACCCCTAGGGTCTGTGCACAGAATCTTTTCTCCAGTCCTCAGCTAATCAGATCTTCTGCACCCTGGCACATGCCTGGCATGTTTCAGGCTCACGGGGCTAGGAATTCAAACTGTGGTTGCCATATAGGATCTGGCTTCTCTTGAGCAGCACGGTACCACTGCAACACGGCCCTTGCCTTGTTTCTCACTTCTACATTTTCATTTTAGAACGCAGTTACTATTTCTCAGCCGAGAACTTTCATCTTTCCAATCATTTTGAGAATTTAATTCATGAGGCCTGGTTATAACATCTACTCTAAAGTATTTTCCTGAGAATTCCAACATCTGAATAATCGAGGGTTGCCATCTGCTGATTGTATTTTCCTTTGAGAATAGGTCATATATCCCTGGCTATTTGTTATGTCTTGTCATTTTGGATTATATTGTAGGCATTTAATTATCATGTTGTAAGAGTCTGGGTCCTGTTAACATGCCTGAAGAATACTGGGTCTTTTTATGTCTTAACAGGCAATCAAACTATTAATAGTTAGGTTCAGAATGTGCATCGTGTCTTAGCTTTTGTGAGTGGTGGGTTGAATGTCAGTACCATTTTCAAAGCCTTTGCTATCGTGCTTTGCATTGGTACTATATGTGTATTTCACTTGTACTAATCTAGAAGTTGGTAGTTTCAAAACTATAGTTATTCTGCTTTTGGTTTCTTCTGTACATGTTCAGCTTGGGGGATGCCTGGGATTTATGCTTATATATACATAACATGTGGGTCTTCATGTGCAGTTCCCTCCCCTCTAGGACTTCTCCTTATAATATCTGTTTTAAAGCTCTCCTTTTGACTGTCTTCTGGTTAGAAAGATGAGATACTCTTGGAGTTTCAGCTATCCATCCTACTGTACTTAGTAAAATGTGCAACTTACGCAACCTTTGAGGCAAAACATCAAGAGAAAAATAAAGGTGATTTCCCCTACACTTATGGGCTCACACAATCCTCTCTCTCTCATGGATCTTTTGTCTAGGCAGATGAGTTTTTAAAATCAGGGTTTTAGGTGCGTGTACCTTTGTTACCATGAAGACACCACAGCTTCACAACTGGGGCTGTCCTCAGGGGTGGAAAAGGAAGGAGAAAAGAGAGAAAGTGGAGCACCCTGTTCTACATGGACACATTCTCTGACTCACAGGGACCCATTGTTCTGGTCCTCTGGCCAGAAAGAACTTTTTCTGAAGGTTTTGCTGTAACAATGAAAATAATCAAGCTCTGTAGAAATAATAATTAACATGGTTTATCGTAAGCATGATTTTTGAGAGACCATGCCCAGAAAAGCACAAAAGTGCTTCCCAGGGTTTTTGGGTGTAGCAGTTCTTTTGTTTAGTTCTAAGAGCAGGTGGCACAGACAAAGTTGTGAATCAGTATAAGGAATCTCTTTATTGGCCTGGCTCAAAAAAGCAGGATATCTAGAAGTGAGGGTTTGTAGGTTATAGATGGGTTTAGAAATTCTTAGGTTAGTATTGGTTAAACATACAAAGCTTTGTCTAAAGAGACTTGGAAGGCCTTGCCTTGCTATTTTTATTGTGATTCCCTGCCAGGATCAGGACATAAGGAGTTCCCACAATCACTAGACCAATGCAGTCCATGACAGACAGATTAATGTTTGTAGATGTTGCTCTTCTAGGCCTCTCAGAAAGCATCTTAGTCTAGGAAGAGTAGTCAGAATCTGTCCTGAGCTATTTGCACCCACTGTCCAACTCTGCACTGTGGCTGCCTTAGGTCAAAACTGGAAGGTAGGGAGGGGGGCCCTGCAGATGGTGCAATGATTGCAACACGTAGTTGACCATGGTTCGAGTCCTGGACCCCACGGCTTAAAACTCACTTCAGGCACCTGCGCATGCCTGCCCAAAATCCTGAGAGGAGAATGGAGAAGAAGGGATTGCAGCATGGCCATTCCTCCCTGGTGGGAGATTTCTCACTTTCTGTCTCTTTATCTCTCTCTGTCTTTCCGACAAGCGCACATTCCCTATAGCAAAAATCTCTCTCAAAAACAAAAACAGAAAACTGGAAAATGAAAGAGGAGAAAATCCCTGAGAAAATCATTCTTTAGATTTCGGTTTCTATCTCCATCCACCTACTATTTTTAACTTTTCACTTTCCACAAGTAATTGGTTTTGTATTTAGCCCAGAGTTACACAGTTTAATCAGGCTACAGTGGAATTACTTTAGCTTTGCTGGAGTACCTGAAACATCAGTATCCTTCCCGATGCTTATATTGTCATAACTTTGGCCAGTAGATACTCTTGAAACTGATTCCTATGTCCTTCTGTTTTTGACTCTATTAAAATTTGAAAGCTTCCTTTATAATATCTAAACTCTATTGTATTAATGATATGAATACTGTGGTTTTTCTTGGTTATACGGGAAGGAGATTATGGTATTTCCTCATTTTCTACAGGAATGAAGGAAACAAAGTAATTTTCTGTTCATTATTATTTTAAAAATTATTTTATTTAACTTAATTTATTTATTTTAAATCTGACCAGAGAGGGACAGACCAAGAGCCAGACCGGGAGAGACAGAGACAGAAAAAGTGAGAAAACATGCTGCCAGGTCTAGGACTGGGGCCTCGGTCGGCCACGTAGGAGTCCAGCATCCTTAACCACCATGCCACCTGCCGGCCCCATGTTTGTTATTTTTGAGAAACTTGAATCATTTAAAATAATGAATAATGCTATGATAGACTGGCAGTGGATTTGGAGCTTTAATTTATTTCTTATTCGGGGCACTTCTGAAGAGCTCTTTCCCCAGGAATCTATAAA